TTTTTCTCATTGTTTATAAAGTTTCCACCCTTCTAGTTTTAAATTGAAGCTATTGATTATTTAGGTTTTTTGTTTGTTTGTTTGGTTGTATTGGTTTTTTGAGACAGGTTTTCTCTGTATAGCTTTGAAGACTATCCTGGCACTCATGCTGGAGATCAAGCTGGTATTGAACTCATAGAGATCCAACTGCCTCTGCTCCCCACCCCCAGTGCTGGTATTAAAGGCTTGCACCACCAACACCTGGTGTTATTTATTATTTAGTACATGAAACCATGCTTCAGTCATGAGTAGTTGAAAACAGGAACCACGAGACTCAAAAAACCCATGTTGAGTTTATTGAAGGGAAAGGGAAGAAGAAAAGTGGGAAGGGGGAGAGAAAGAAGCAGAGAAGGGAGAGAGAGAGAGAGAGAAAGAGAGAGAGAGAGGATATGCCCTCTTCTGGTGTGCAGATATACATGGAAGCAGAATGTAGTATAAAATAAACAAATAAAATAAAAAGGGGGAAGCTTGCACATGTGTACTGGGTCCTCTTAAGCTTCCCCTTGATGCTTGACATAGCCATAACATGGACATCAATACATGTTCCTATGAGACATGGTCCTGTGAGCTGCCTAAGTATCTGCCCATATGCATATCTGACCCATTGTCAGGGGGCAGGGTATGCAAAATGCCAGGTTCCAACAGCCAGAGTTGTTATACAGAGAAACCCCGTCATGAAAAACAAAACAAAAGAAACAAACAAACCAAGATATTAATTAGCAATGCTGTTTCTATTGGATAATGTTACATATGAGGAAACTCCAGCAGATTAAGAAAGAATCCATGATATAATGAAATTAGTCAATTTTGATAGAGCTATGGCCTTTGATCAGAGAGTGGATAACTAAATAAACCTCTACAATTTATTTTTGAGTGCCGGGGATCAAACCTGGGCTCTTTCATTTGGTAAGCAATTGCTACCAAATAACCTAGCTAAACCCAAATTTCCTCTACTATAGATGGCTATATTGCAAGGTTCGGAAGGACTGATTGTAGCTGCTTTGATTGAATCTGGAATGAAATGCAAACATGGAGGTCAGTTTAGAACACACAAAAGTCAGAGAGATTTGATTCAAAACAGTTGATGTACTTGAGAGAAGTAATATGTGATTATGAGACTGCTTCAGAAAACCAATGCTACTCCATTGTAGCATTCAGAGGTACATCTTAGTTCCTGGAAATGTAATATGAATTCTTAGATGTAACATTAGATTGTTGTTAAATGTGATACTCCTTAACCCCTAATGGTTGGAGATAAAAGTAAAGATTAGGATATCCCTCTATTGCATGATACACAAAATATTCAGACAACCTGAATCCTGAAACATTTTGTTACTTGCATTTTGAACCCGGAAAAATATCTTGGGCTCTGACTATAACTCATGTTCAAGGACGAAGAAATTTCCTACCAAGTGTAAGGCCTGGAGTTTGATCCACAGCACTGAAAATCCAATTGTAGAGTGAGTAATGGGAGAATTACCAATACAGAGTCAGGTAAAAATATGAGTATTTATTAGGAAGCTGCCTTACATACAGAGCAACCTAACCAGCTGGCAGGGCATGGAGTAAGTCCAGCAAGCCGATGATGAAAAGGAAGAAGGGAGTTGTATGTTCCCACCCTTCACTGTTAAACCTTCCCTACCTCACCCTGAACACCCCTCCCAAGGGATGGTCAGGCATACCTGTAGCCAGCCCCTAGTAGGCATTTTCATGGTGTCACCTACAAGTGAGTTCACAAGTTAAATGAAAAAATTTCTAGTGAAATAGATCCAGGTTACTTTCCTAACAACAGGCACTGCTGAGTGTCTAAATATTCTCTATCCTGTAAAAAAGTGTTGTGTTGGGTATGTTAGTGCACACTTTTAATCCTAGAAGAATATAAATAGAGGTGGGCTCAGTAATTTAGTTTAACTCTGCAGAAGCAGGCAGGTGCATGCATGCAGGTGCCAGGGCAGACAGAGTTAGAGTGAGACAGTCTCAAAAGAACAAAAAGAATAGAAAGTAAAACAAGCTATAAATGAATGTTCTTTTATGAATCCATAGTAAAAGTCTGGTTGTTGGAATTAAATTATGTTAGAACTAAGATTCATAACAGTATAAATACAGACATTAAGAGGGATAAAAGGTGGTGGTGGTGGATGCCTTTAATCCCAGAACCCGGGAGGTAGAGGCAGGTGGTTCTCTGTGAGTTTGAGACCAGCCCAGTCTACAGAGATAGTTCCAGGACATCCTCCAAAGCCACAGAGAAACCCTGTGTCAAAAACAAAACAAAACAAAACAAAACAAAAAACAAAAAACAAAAAACACAAAAAGCAAAACAAGATGGATAAAAGATAGCATTAGACATAGGGTTTAAAAATATTTGCATTAGGGGTATATAAACAATTAGTGCCTTAATTATTAGGGTAAGAACTTAGATCTGTATGTTAATTATAGCAAGTTTGTATAGAGAAAAATAGAATAAAAAATGTAATTCTAGACAGACAGTGGTGGCGCACACCTTTAATCCCAGCACCCAAGAGGCAGAGGCCATTGGATCTTTGAGGTGAGCCACCCTGATTTACAATGTGAGTTCCAGGACAACCAGGGCTACACAGAGAAACTGTCTTGAAAAAAAACTTAGATATATAATTCTAAATTGGATTATAAGAAAATAAAGCAAGGACCTCAAAAAGGATGTGATATAAGCATGATTTATCAGGAATGACATGATATTTTAATTTATGAAATAACAATTTCTGTTTTAATACCTATATATTGTATTAAAACATCTACTTGTGTTATTTCTATAAAGCACATAGTTAAACTATTGGATATTTATTGATAAAACATTTTAGTTTTCATTTTATTTTATTATTTTTTTGAGAAAGGGTCTCACTTTGCAACTTTGGCTGTCATAGAATTTACTTTGTAAACCAAGCTGGCCTCAATTTAGAAATCTACCTGTCTCTGCCTTGCCAATGCTGGTAATAAAGGAAGTGTACCACCACACCCAGCTGAGTAGTGACCAGCCCGCAGCCAATAGTGCTAAGGTTTTCTTTATTTAGATACACCAGTCAAGTGCAGGCAAAAGCAAGAGGGAGGGATCTGGAACCAGCTCCAGTAGCTGGGGGAGCAGAAGAGAGAAGGGCAGGGGTCTCCACATGCAGCCCTTAAGAACCTTCTTTTAGGGAGTCACCCCAGATTTCCCTTCACCGGGCCCTCATGGGCTTGTCCTGGCACATCTGTCCTGGTTGCCTGGGGCGGGGCTAGGGTGTCTCCCTACACCCAGCCCTAATGAATGAGTAAATAATTTCTAATTTCATTTTGTACAAAGGGTGTTGGGCATGGGACAGTGTTAGCAGATGACTTTAATCCCAGCACTGGGGAGGCAGAGGCAGGCGGATCTCTGTGAGTTCAATACCTGCCTGGGATACAAGAGCTAGTTCCAGGACAGCCTCCAAAGCCACAGAGAAACCCTGTCTTGGAAAACCAAAAAAAAAAAAAAGGAATTGGGCTGAGTGTGGCCAAGCACACCTTTAATCCCAACACAGGGAACACAGACTGTAGGATCTCTGTTAATTCCAGGCCAGACTGATCTCCATAGTGAGAAGCTGCCATAAAAAATATGTGAACATTAATCTATACAGAAACATCTATTTCGAATTTTATAGAAAATATTTGGAAATATCAGACAATTGATTAAAAACATGCTGCTTTGAAAAAGTTGGTGAGATTATGGGCAAGCTCGTTATGTTAGTGGTGTCTTCATACTCATACACAGATGAGAATATTCAACTGTTCTTTATAAACAGCCTTTTGTTGTTTTGCTTTTTGATACTGGCTTTATCTCTGTAATAGTTTCATCTCACATGGAACTGGCTTTGTATACAGGGGGAATCCAACTCACAGAGATCTGCCTGCCTCTACGTCCCAAATGCAGGGATTAAAGGGGTGTGGGATCACTCCCAGTTTATAACTTTTCTAAAATGTAATCTTTGATTTTATTATCCATTTCTTTCCTATATAAAGGGAACATTGGAAGATAAAGACACTGCTATTTCCAGCAACACAGGCCTTGACTGCATCTCTGTTGTGAAGCTTTTAGAAGCTCTACAACCATGCAAGGATCTTGGGGAAACTCATTTCCAAGACATCCTTTGCTTATGAGTACTTAATTCACACTAATTGTTTAATGATCATTCTTGTTATTTTTCTGCATATTTTTTTGAATTTTTAATTTCTTTTTACTTTAAATAATTATATGTAAAACTTGATTTGTGGTACTTTGTAATATCCCCCCCCCAATTTTATATTTAAATTATCTTTGTATTTAAATATCCTTAATTTTTGCATACTTGTACTTGACACAAACTCATGTCCTGTGGAAAGTTGCTAACTACTTGTTAAAATTTGTTGGAAGGAATTTAAAATGTACTTCATTGGTCCATAATGTCAAGGCATTGTTCTGTGAAATGCATTGCTGGATGATTTTTGTCCTTGCATGAACATCTAGAGTGTTCTTGGTTGAACTTAAATGGTGTATTTCTGTACTAGTGATAACTGTACCTTACTGAGGGTAGGTTTAGAACATAAACATGCAGTGATCATAAGAAAAGAAAAGTATCATTCTTAAAGGAAGATGGAGGGAATCTGTGTACCTGGCTTAGTGGAGACCCTTGGCTTCCTATCCTTGAGAGTCACATGAGCTAGATGTACCAGAAGCCTGCTAACTAGAGCCTTTATTGCAGAAACATTTGGGATCTACCAAAAATTTAAATTCTTGGATCCACTCTAGACATTTTTGAATTTTAGAAACTTTCACAGATGACTTTAGCCCATGCTATGATTTGAGACCTGTTTCTTCAGAGAAAAGGGATGGTAGAAGATCCATGAACAGAAAATTCTGCATAGCTAGTAGAAGATTCCATCTTCTGTTGTTTACATTTAGTTTGTTTTCAAAGGGAAGCCTCAGAAGTATGATGCCCCAGGATTTACAGAGCATGAGGACCCAGCTTGCCCAGAAGAAGTTCAAGGCCAAACACCGATTTTGTGTGACTCCTGTGATTCCTATGAGGATGACCAGTTCCATCTTCCCACATCCTGTGACTAGAATAACTTCCCACCCGAAGAATATTATCAAATACAGGAAGAGGCTTGAAGAGAATTTGGAGAAACCCAGGCAGCTGTGTCCATTCAGGAGACTGCAGGAATATCTACTTGAAGACACTAAATGGGGAATACAGGCTGAAGCCAAAGTTCCAAGTGGTGTTAATAATCAGCACACTTCCCAACACTTCACCTCCATCCCACCACTGAGTTCAGAAAAGATGGTACAAGTTCAGCTGTCGCCATCTTCCTTTAGTCAAGGGGTAACATTGCCAGTCACTCTTCCGCCATTGCCATCTTTGAACAGTCAAGTGGTAACTACTACAGACATCCAAAGACAGGCCCAGAAGGTAGATACAGCCCGGGAGAGACTGGCTTCGCTCTTGGAGGCAGACAGGCTTGCCAGGCAGGCCGAGAATATGGCAGAACAGTGAAGATGAGAATTCTAAAAACTAAATGAAAAGAAAAAGAAACTGGAAAATATGACTGTGGTGAACACTGCAAGTTCTCCATGAAGGTCTTCATTCAGTGTAGCTCTTGGGTAGATAACAAAGCCTTAACTCATGTTAGACAAGCCTGGCCATCTTGAAGCTAATCCTTTGTTCCTCCCTACCATGGGACTGCTGCTTGCTAGAGGTTTAGTTCCTTACTGACAGTACCAGACAGCACATAAGACTGGACTTCTGGTTGCCTCAGTCCTGGAAAGAGAGAAGCTGCAGCTGGTATGGCTAACTCCCTCTCCAGTGTTATGTCTATGACATAACAAGTAAATAGTTTTATAATACTAGGTTTAATGGAAGAAGAAAGGGGCTCTTTACTCAGTTGTTCAATTTCATTAAGTATTTAACTTGTTAAAACTTCTTAATGAAAAGCTGCTTCATGTATTGGAGCTTTATACATCAGTGTCGTGGACTTTGTTTTCTTGGAAATCTCTGTAATCCTAAACTATCAGTAAAGGTTTTCATTTTAAATACAAGTTCAGTGATTCTTTAATATGCCAGTGATTTGATGCCATAAAGATACTATTATAGATGTGGTTGTATCTATCATTTATCTATTCCTCTATACTAGCTCTCTATGATGAGATACACCCTCCATCTCCTACTGCTAATTTTAAAATAAATTCAATTTTTTACTATATAAAGTTACATAAGGTAATTTACATGTGAGAATATATTGCTGCTGGGCATAGTAGTACACATCTATGATTCCATCAGAGGCAAACTGTTTAGTTTTTGGAGGCAAGGTTTCTCTATGTAGTTCTGGAACTCACTCTGTTCCAAGTGTCCTTGGAACTAAGTTTTATGCCTGCCTCTGATTCCCTAGTACTGGGATTAAAAGCATGGGCTACCTGTTATTCTTTTTAAGCTGCAGCTGCTGAAATAAAGAAAGGAACAACAGATGAACAACTCACATGGAGTTTATTTACCTGAAGGGGGGTGATGGAGCTTAGTTGGCAGCCAACCCAAGAGGAGCCAAAGAGAGAAAGAGAAAGATGAAAGACTGGACCTTTTAAAGGGAAGGCTGCACATGCGCACTGGGGATTTACACATGAGCAGAGTCCTCACAAAGGCCCCAATACATGGTGGGTGCGTGGCAATGACTTAGCAATTTCTCCAGTGCATGCCCTGCCTGTCTTTAGGGGGCAGTGTCATCCAGGTGTATTGTTCTTACAATCCCAACTGTTGTTTATTATAAAAGTTGGAGAATTGGGCATGGCAGGTTATGGAAGTAGGGATGAAAAAATTTCAAGGCTGCATACTGCTGACCTGTGGCGTTGACCCTTTTTGGGGATCTTAGAAGTTTGGGGTGCTGCCACACCCTGCGGTAGATGGTTGTTTCATTGCAGTCCGGGCTGTATGGTACTCCCAGGCGTCTTTTAGACCTGGCAAAATGTTCGAAGAGCAGAGGACAAGGTTAAGTTTAGAAAAAAAAAATTTCTTAGGTACTGGTATTTTAGGGAAGATTGTAAGATGAGGGAAGGGTTCCCGAGGTGTCCCAAGATGAGGGAAGGGAATTTTGGACCAGGGAAAGTTTGAATATTACCTGGAGTGAATGTGACTTGTTTGGATCTGATTCGGCTCCCAGGAACTTATAAGAATCCTTAAAGTTTGTGAAAACATAAAATTTAGACACATTAGATCATATCTAGGTAGTATGGAATCTTTCTGGTTACTGTTACCCAGAAAGTATAAACATTTGATGGTCCTTGTATCTTTAGATCCATGGCTTTTATGCTGGTATTCCTGTAACAACGGCTATTCGGTTGGATTAAAAGTTTTAAGTAAGTTATTGTGGGATACTTAGGAAATTGATGAGCAGGGTGTAGAAGAGTTTAAATCAGCCTTGTTTCTTATTCTTCTGAAATGGGAGGCAAAGTAGATGATTTCAGTGTTCTCTGACATACATAGTTCTGTTGTAGAAACTGTGTATGATGGGTGAGTCTCAGGTGGAGAAATAAAGGGCTTGAGGTGGGATAAGTGAATCCAGTGGGTAGGCCCTCAAGCGTAGCTGCTGTTGGAGTGAAAAGAATTACTTTGAAAGGGACCTTCCACTTAGGAGACGGGGGGAGGAACTCTGGTCTGGAGGAGAAAGAAGTACTTGATCCCCAATATTAATTGGAAAGGTACAGTGGGTAGTACATGGTCGAGGTAGAGAGTGGTCAGCAAATAGGATGGAAAGGAAATGATGATGTAAAGGTGTAAGCAGGTAGTCAGGGAGTGGTGAGAGTTTAAGTGTGGGCCACGTGGTTAGAGCCAGCAACCCATACATGAGTTCAAAGAATGAAATGAAAAGTGGTTGTTTAGGTAGAGCCCTAAGCCTGAAAAGGGCCAGAACAAAAGCTTTACCTAGTCAACATGAAGTTCCTGTGACATTTTAACTAGAACAGTCTTTAAAGAATGGTTAGTTTGCTCTGCCCTCCCTGAAGACTGAGGGTGATATGGAATATGAAAATGCTAAGGAATATTGAGAGCTTTAGACAGGGTTTGAGAGATCTGAGAGGTAAATTCCAGACCATTGTCTGACTGAAGAGAGGATGGAATCCCAAACCGGGGAATAATTTCCCTGAGAAGGATGTCAGAGACTGTCTGAGCTTTCTTGTTAGAAGTAGGAAATGCCTCTAACCACTCTGAGAAAGTATCTACTAGTACCAGGAGGTATTTAACTCGCCTGACTGTGGGCATGTGGGTAAAGTCAAATTGCCAGTCAGTCCCTGGGAGAGAGCCCCTGGCCTGGTGGGTGGGAAAAGGGGGGGCTATGATACCTGGAGTTAGGGTCTGACATCTGACAGGTTTTACAAGAGGCAGTGATAGTTTTTAAGAAATTTAAGCCATCAGAAGTATGTTGGAGGTGAGCCTGACAAACAGAGACAGAGCCTTACTGTTAGGGTGGAAGAGCTGGTGTAAGTAGGACAGAATGTGTCTGATGTCAGGATGTGGCTGTGAGGATGTGGGTTGTAGTGTATGGATTTCTTGTGGTGGGTGACATAGATCTGGGCCTCAGAGGGCTGCATCCCTAGCTGCTTCATCACCCCAGTTGTTGCCGTTAGCGATAACAGAGCTGTCAGTGATGTGACCGCCCTTGAATAATTCATATAGCTTTGGGGAGGTGAGATGCCATAATGTAACCCTAGTTAGCTATGAATCCTCCTTTTGTAGTAAGTAGTCCACATTCCTTCCAAACAGCTGAGTGGAACAGGAGGATATGAAAACCATATTCAGAGTCTGTTTAAACATTTAGAGAATGATGTCCCTGTGTCAATTGAAGGCATGGGTGAGGGCTATTAATTCAGCCTGTTGGTTAGTATTGTGGACAGGGAGTTCCCGTACTTCCATCACCATGGTATCTGACACTATGCCATAGATAGCTTTATGGGTCCCCTCATGTAAAAAAGAGCTGCCATCTGTGTTCCAGGTATAGGTGGCCTGAGGGAGTGTGCCAACCTGTATGTTTGAAGGATGGGGCAAGATTGGAAAGTAAGCGTGGCATCTTTTACTAATGCCACCAGGAGGGAAAGAACACGGGAAGGAGGTAGAGTTTGTAAGCCTCTGTAGGTTAGGAGATGAGACAGGTTGTGATGGGAGAAGACAGTGATGGGTGACCCAAAGGTTAATTTCTTTGACTCATGGATAAGGAACTCAGCAGCTGCTAAAGCACATATGCAGGATGCCCATACTTGAGTAGTCAGGTCTAGTTTCTTTGACAGATAGGCTTCAGGTGCAAAGGAAAGTCCTAGCTGGTGACCTAGAACTCGAAGGGCAAATCCTTCTTTTTATGTTACCTAGAGGGAGAAAGGAAAATTTAAGTCTGGTAGATGAAGGGCTGGGACCTCAACAATGGCCTGATTAATTCTCTGAAAAGGCTTAGAAACAGGTTTAAGGAGAGGTCCATATGGAGGTCTGAGAGCCGCCTCATACAGGGGACAGGCAAGGATCGAGAAAGAGGGGATCCAGGAGTGCAAGAAGCCAGGTATTCCTAGAAATGATAAAATCTTCTCTTTAGTAGAAGGAACTGCAAGAGACTCGATTAAGTTTTTTCTGTCTACAGGAATAGGATGGAGAGGCACCCACACAGAATTAATGAGCCGTAGGTCATGAACAAGACAATAAGTCCCACTAGGTTTTTTAACTGCCAGTCTAGGGGTGTGAAAAGGGGAGGAGGTAGGACGAAGCAGCTCTTTCCTTAGGAGGTCAGAGATGATAGGTTTAAGACCCTTAAGGCTCTGGAGTGGAAGTGGGTACTGAACTTGAGCAATGTACCTCGAGGGGTCCTGTAACTGAATGAAAGTGGGTCCCCAAAACTCCTTTAGGACTGAGTATGTGGCACAGGTGTCCAAAAGGAAGGAGATGGTCCACCCTGATTCTTTAATTTCTACCCAAGGCTCCCTTTCAGAGATAATGGTAGTCGGGTTAAGAGAGCCTGTGCCCTGTCATTCATCATCCTTGTCCATAGCCAGGGTTAAATGTCAGTTGCAGGGAGGTCTGTGTTAGATGTCCTCTTGTCACATGGGTATCGGGGACAGTTCACTGACCAATGGCCCTCTTCCCGGCATCTTGGACACAGCTTGTGTGGCACACAGGGGTTCGGACAACCCCAGGCCCAGTGTCCTTCCTGACCACACTTAAAGCATGGATGCTGTGGTCCTCGAGCCCTGAGGGGCAAGGGACCCCAGGCAGGTGCCACAGCCAGTTGGATGGCTTCAGCTAGCTTCTGGTATTTGTGCTTATGGCCTTGTTATCTCTCCCATGGTACACCTTAAACACCACTCATAGGGCCTCATCCTGTGGAGTTATCGGTCCTCTCTCCTAGCTAAACTTTTAAGTTCAGCTCTAATGTCAGGGCAGCTCTGAGAAAAAAGCATATCATAAGAAGTTGTCTTCCCTCTGGTGCCTCAGGGTCTAAGTTAGTATACATAAAGGCCTACTGTTTTAGG